AGTAAGCGGTCTGGTGGTGCTTCTGCGAGCACTTTGCAGGGAAACACCTTGGGGCAGTAGGAGTGCTAGCCGCTCTTACTCGCGCTGAAGTGGTAACCTCACCTTCTCCATTTCAGACGAAGGCCAAGGCTATTGACCCATTGATCGCCCCACAAACAAATCTAGACCAATTGATGTGTCCGAGTCCTTAGAGGAGTTAGAAACTGAGCGGTTAAAGAAAGACCCTAGAGACTCCTGGGCGATGTTGAACAAAGGTCCGAAAGGTGAAGACTTTGTGGTAGACGTCAACGTAGGTGGCCGAAAGGTTGGCGCCTTCGCAGACATAGGTTCTACACAAAACTTCATGAGTGGTGCTTGTGTGGATAGGCTATGCTTAGGGGACTGTGGCGTCTACCTTAGCCAACAAGCACTCTGTGGTAGTAAAGGACTACGTCAAAGACTTACGCTGCACCTTCTCCTATGGAGGAGGGGGACAGTGGCGTCTACCTTAGTCAACAAGCACTGAGACATAAAATCTGGTTCCTTGTTAGCGACGAGCTGCCATTCGACATGTTGCTAGGCATGCACTACCTCAAGGTTGCTAAGCCTCAATCCGATTGGGATAGCAAGGTAATGCTCCGCAAGTTACCAGATGGAAGGACCGTCAAGATGCAAAAGTGTAAGGCTAACAGACTATTGGAGAACTATGGTTGCATGTTCGCGAGGAAGGTATGTACTTCGTCTTTGTCTCTAAGAAAGGGGAGGCCATAAAATCACCCCTAGAGGTAGAAGCAGTCGTTGCACAATATTCAGACCTTTTTGAGGAGCCTAGGGGTGTGGTAGATAGAGAGATTGTCCACGTGATAGAAGTTGTCCCCGGTAGCGAAGTACCTCGAGGACAAATCTATAGGATGTCTCATGTAGAGAAGGGCTGGATTCAACCAATTATGTCCCCCTATGGAGCGCTAGTTTTATTTGTCCCAAAGAAAGGAGGGGAGGGGGGGGTGGAGATCCTAAGGATGTGGATTGACCACAGGGGCCTCGATGCCATCACTGTTAAGAACGTGGAGCCCCTACCACGCATTGAAAACGGTACTTTAGTAAGATAGATCTGAAGTTTGGATACCATCAGATTGTTATTACCTGAGGACCAGCACAAAAACGCCTTTCAGGCTAGGTACGGTCTGTACGATTTTGTGATGATGCTCTTTGGCCCATGTAATGCTCCTGGGACATTCGAGCACACAATGAACTGGATCTTCCAGGAGTACTTAAACAAGTTTACCGTTGTGTACCTCGATGATATACTCATCTTTCGTAAGACTGTAGAGCAGCACACTGAGCACGTGAAAACAATGTTAGGGCTCCTAAGGCAGCACCAGTAAAAGGTTAACTTGGAAAAATACGAATTTGGTCGCACCAAGATCTTGTATCTGAGTCATGAGATTTCCGTGGATGGTTTGAGGCCAGACGATGCTAAAGTGGCCAACATATGTGAATGGCCCAAACCTCAGTCTGTGATTGAGGTGAGGTTGTGCTTGGGGATGATAGGCTACTATCGTCCACTTGTGAAAAATTACAGCATGATAGCATCTCCGCTAACTGACCTCACGCGCCCATCCCTTGGGAGTGGATTGAAGAGTGTGAGGCGGCCTTCAAGAGATTGAAGTATGCCCTGACGCACTATGAAGTCCTCAAACTTTCGGATCCTGAACAACCCTTTGTTGTGACCGCAGACACAAAGCCAATATGGCATAGATGCGGTCCTTGCGCATAAGGAGGGGAAAAAGTTGAGGCCAATGGAGTACATGAGTGAAAAGATGCCATCTCAGAACCGCAGACACAAGCCAATATGGCATAGATGCGGTCCTTGCGCATAAGGTGGGGAAAAAGTTGAGGCCAATGGAGTACATGAGCGAAAAGATGCCATCTCAGAAATTAGCTAAGTCCATGTATGAGTGTGAGCTCTATGACCTCTATAGAGCGCTGGTCCATTGGAGGCACTACCTCCTAGGCAGATTCTTTTATGTGAGATCTAACCATGAGACGCTGCGCTAGATTAAGACACAGCTCGTGCTCTTTGACGCACTCAAGAGGTGGATTGAAGTCCATATACATGTATGACTTCAAGCTCGACCCTCTAAAAGGAGAGTACAACAAAGTGGCCAATGCACTACTGCGAAGGGAAGATTATCTGGGCGCATTAGTGATTGAGTTTGGAATTTTTGACGATGTAACTTGATCCATGGTGGAATCCTATCGAGAGAATGCAGTCATGTCTGAGATCATCCGCAAACTAGAAGCTAAAGATAAGGCTACTTCCGATGAGTTTGTGCTGGTTAACGACTTGCTGTTCCTTGAGAAGGCTAGGAATAAACAATTGTGTGTTCCGAATAGAGAATCTTTGCATAGTCTATTTTTAGAGTGTCATGATGCAACCGGTCATTTTGGCCATAAAAAGACAGCCGCAAACTTAGTGCAGAAATTTTGGTGGCCCACAATGATGGATGATGTAAAGAGGTATGTAGAAACTTGCCAAGTTTGCTAGCATGACAAGACACAGACACAGGCACCGCTTGGGCTTATTAAGCCTTTGCCCATCCCTGCTGGTTCAGGTTGAAGTGTGTCCATGGATTTCATGGATACCCTTGTGACCAGCAAGAGTGGTAAACGACACATCTTTGTCATCATGGACAGATTCACAAAGTATGCTAGACTAATGGCTATGCCTGAGACAGCTAAGACTGACCACGTCATCAAGCTATTTATGGACAACTAGTTACGTGACTTTGGTCTCCCTGAGTCTATTGTAAGTGACAGGGATGTCAGATTCACTAGTGAACCGTGGCAAAGTGAAACGGTTTTCACCTTTTAGCAGTAGCAGATGTAGTACCCAGGGGTCGATCCCTAGACCTCACCCTACCCATGTACTGTATCTGTGTAGACCCCAAGAGTTGAACCTGTGACATGTGTATTCGTAGACAGTTGGTAGGTTTGTCGTAGGTTCATAGGTAGCAAGGGTTCGATCTGTAGATCTATAAAGTAGAAGTCTTAGCGAGTTCCAGAAGTCTAGCTGTAGTCCTAGAAGGTAGGCAAGTGGGCAAGTGGTCAAGTGGCGAGGCAAGTGGTGGACTAAACTGCAGTGCAATTGCAGTATGACTACGGTAGGATAGCAATGAGTCCACAGTCAGTCAGCGGTAAGGTCCAGTCAGTCCCAGTCCGGTCCGGCAAGTACCACGGGGGACTGTGAGCACCATGGGCCGATGGCAAAGGGCATACCAACGAGTTTCCGAAGTATAAATCAAGAGGTAGCGCCCAGCCTTGCATTCATTCATGCGTGAGCCATACGGAAGCGCTGCCACAGCGACCTGTGCAAGGAGGTCTGCAGTGAGCCCGGAGGACGCAGTGGGCGAGATTGGAGGAGCTTAGTATAGCGATAGGGTAGAGGCAGCCATAGCTGCCATAGCTGTAGCTTAGTGTGAAGTGTGTGTGTGTGTGTGTGTTCAGAGTGACGCGTGTGGGATATCCAGGGTGATCCGGTGTATGTGAACAGTGAGTTGTTTGGGCGCTGAGTCGCCATAGCCAGTTGAAAGTGAACTCTTATTGGGATGCCATATCTCTGAGTTTTGAGTGGGCGCATGTCGCTAGTTTGCTGCGCTGCTGTTTACATGCATGAAAAGTGTGAATGAGAACGAGTCTGATTGCATTGGTATCGGAGCTGGTACCTGCTCTTCCATGCGCGTCGTTGTGTGTTGCAGGGTAGCAGAGGTGGCCGCCGAAGGCTGTAGTCCGCCATAGCGGACCTGAGGTTGGAGAAGCTGCCGCGCACCTGCAAGAAGACCGCGACGAAGAAGAAGACCGAGAGAGAGAGAGAGAGAGAGAGAGAGAGAGAGAGAGAGAGAGAGAGGAAAGGTTGAGCGATACAAGTTTGGTTGTCAGTTTCCTGTGAAGCGAGCCGTGCAGTTCCACGTGGAGGAAGAAGAAGCGGCCATAGCCGCAGAGCATCACCACGGAGTAGTGAAGAAGGGAGAGAGACCGGACAGAGGGGGAGAGACCGAGAAGGGAGAGGAGGAGGCCATAGCCGAGAGGTGAAGAGAAGGCCGATCAAAAAAAAAAAAAAAAAAAAAAAAGAGAAGAAGAAGACAGCCGGGGTGAAAGGAGGCGAGGAAGGCGAAAGGGAAGAAGAGGTTTGGCGAGGAAGACGAGCCGGCAGCCATAGCTGACCGGAGGGTTGACCAAGAGGGTTGACCGGAGGTGTTGACCGGCGGTTACCGGAGTTGACGAGGGGCTGATAGCAGCGTTGACCACCGTTGACCAAGACTTTGACCAAGCTGGAGCCGGTAACATCTCGCCAAGCCCTCAGCCTACCCCTCGCCCTATGGATGTGCACACACCCCTTGGTACTTGCTGAGTCCAGTCTGTCTGTCTATTCTTTCTGCATCGAGTCTCTTTTGTCCTAGGTGATAGTACTCTGGATGAAGGATAGGCCTTGTTGACCAAACCCATTTCGGACCTAGTAGGGCTGAGACCGTGTCTAATCCAACTGTCCCAGAGGCCTAACCCTCCCAAGGACCGGTGCTGACCGGTGGGGCTCGGATTGGCGTGACATGGTAGGCCTGAACGGCTGAGTTGTGGGCTGCGCAACAGGCAGTCTAAGTCGGAGGTCAAACCCTCCCAAGGACCGGTACTGACCGATGGGCTGCTCGGTGTGGCACGGTAGGCCCGAAAGGCTGAGTTGTGGGTTGTGCAACAGGCAAGACCTGCTGATCACGTCGTCTTGTTTGTGACGTTAAATGATTCCTGAGGAGTTCGGGGGATCTCCTTAAATGCCTCATGATCAGCAACAGGTCTAGTAGTGACTGCCATAGTTAGTTCTAGGCTAGAGACCATAGTTGGCAGGATCCTTGTCAGGATTCTGTAAGTCCTTAGATTGAGTCAGTAGGTTTGTCAGTTAGGGGTTAGAGTCGGCGTGGTGAGGTTTGGAACCACCACCCGGTTGTGCACTTGTCACCATGGTTGAGACCCGTAGTGGGAAAGACACTAGCCCCTACACTCTTGAGCAGCTAGAGAAGATGGCCGCCCTAGTGAAAGAAAACAGAGAGAGGAAGGAGCTCGAGAAGCAGGCGAAGCTAAAGGCTATCGCCGAGGAGCAGGCGACGAAGATGAAGAGATTGGAGGAGGAGATGAAGAGAGTTCAACAGGAAGAAGAAGAGAGGAGAAAGGCTGCTGAAGAAGAAGCGGCAGCAGAAGAAGAAAAAGAGAGAATGCGGATTGAGAGTAGAGAGGGGAGTAGTGGCACGAAGAGGGATACAGATGCAGAGATGGAGAAGAAAATAAGTGAGTGGGTCGCTAATTTATCGTTGGGAGAAGACGAGGAGGCGGAGTCGTATGTGACTCAGGATGAGAGGGATGCGCTAGCCAGTGAGCTAGCAGCAATGACAGATCCTATGGAACGGCGAGAAAGGGAGGAGGAGGAGAAGTTGGCGTGGAAGTTAAGAATGAAGAGGGAGAAGAAGAGGAGGAGAGAGGAAGTGAACAAACTGACTGCAGAGGTGGCAAAGGTACAGGAGTGTAGGAAAGAAGTGGAGGCCCAGGCAGATGACAAGGCCAAGTGGGATAAGGTATTGGGGTACCTAGAGGTGCTGAGCAAAGCCTAGATAGAGCGCCATGCCAGTTGGAGCCAAGACGTAGCTTTGAGTGCCATGCGGTCGAGGTTCAGAGACTTTGCGCGCGAGATCGCCACCCACATTGGGGGCGGAGTTAGGCAATTGAGGGACAACATAGGGAAGTTTTGTGAGGGCGCCATTGAGGGTGCCAAAGCAATAGCTGCTGTAGAGGGTGAGGCCAGACCCTGTAAGGACCCGGTTAAGCTTAAGTTTCCAGACGCATACGGGGGAAAGAAGGAAGATAACTTTGACAACTGGGAGGCCAGTGTCAATAGTTACATATACCTACAGCACATCCTGACAGAGGAACAAGTCCTAGTGGCCTTCCAGGCCCTTAAGGATGAGGCGGCTAGTTTTGCCAGGTCCCTTGCGCGCGCAGCCGGTTGTGAAAACAACCTGGTTGCAAATTCAAGAGTCACCCCCCTTCGTCAATTCTTTAAGCTCCTGAAGAAGCGATTCGCTGATCCAACGAGAGGCGTCAGGGCCTCTGATAAGTTACAAACGATCCACTCACGACAGTGGAGGAGTGCAAGGGCACTCAAGGGTACAATGGACAACTTGGTAGCCGTCCCAGACCATGGGGTCACTGAGCCCCAGTTGGTCCAGTTATTTTATCGTGCCATGCCAGAGGCCCTACGTGGGCATTTCTTTGACAAATCTCAACAGGCCGGCATCACCTATGATGCATTGAGTAGGGAAGTGGTCCTGTATGAGTCAAAGTCCATGCCAGTTACCACCTTCTGGCACAAGGACTTGGATCAGGGAAAAAGGTGGAAAGGTCGTACCATCTCAGGTCAGGTGAGGGCCAAGGATCACATGATCCTTACCTTAGAGGAAGGTGGTACTGATGAGGTCCCATACAGTCAAACTGAGTGGGGCCTGGAGGAAGAGGACAGCAGTGTGGGTCAGGGGAGGTCTTATGCTGCTGTCGCGGCTGGAGGGAGGCCGCAAGGTAGAGGAGGAGGCCAGGGCCAAAGGGGCCAGGCCATGGGAGGCCGTGGATCGGGCGCACAGGGGGTTGGCGGACAAGGAAACCGCCAAGCGGGAGGCAGGGGTCAAGGTCCCCCGTCAAATCGCCAGGGTTCCAATTGGTCCCCACATCGAAGAGGTGGAAGGGCACCTCCAGGAGGATGGCACCTAGGCTTGCCACATGGCAGGCCCTGGGAGGATTTGGGCTTGGACCAGCGCGTATGGCAAGAACGCGTGAACTTGGGTCAGTGAGTGTTTTGTGGTGACCCGGCCCACGTAATTAAATTTTGTCCACAGTATAGACAGGCCCGTTGGGCTGCCCAACATTCAAAAGGCAGCCGCCAGTAGGGGTCCCAACTGCCCCTACTTCAAGGCCATGTGGAGAAGTGAGCACGCGCGAACAGGACACTCCCAACCCACATGAGCCTGTGGCAGAGGTTGCAGGCCCGTGCCTAGCTAGCTGTCCAGAGACCGCTTGTGTTAGCGTCTCTCTAGGCGCGTCCCTCACAGGCGTGGCAGATGAGCTGAAGGAGAGGATGCCCGCCTGGGCCAAGATGAAGAAAGAGAGTGAAGGACAACTGCTCTTGGTAGATGTAGAAGTTTTCAAGAGTAGAGTAAGGGCCCTTATAGATTCAGGGGCCACCCGCAGTTATATTAGGCGTAGGGCGCTGAAAAAGCGAAGGCTAGGATTAAAAGTCCAGAAATCGGCAGAACCCTTAGTCAGTGTCCTCGCAGACAACCGCACGATGCGTGTTGAGGACTATGTTGAGGGAGTCCAGGCGTACTTTCGCCTAGAGAAAGATGGGAAGGTGGAGAAAGTCCTCCATTCCCCGACTCTCCTCGAATAGGATGAGCTTCCTTTCGACATGGTGTTAGGAATGGATTGGGGAGAGGCAGCAGGGGCCACACTCCATTTGAGAGAGCACGAGTGTAGGCTCCCTAGTCCATCAGGTGAGGTCGAGACTGCCAGCCTGTTTCATGTGTCAGGTGTAGATAACACCTTGGCACATTGCTGTCTCAGTGCTCCCGCGTTCGCGCGATTAGTGGAGAAAGGGCGATTAGAGGAACAGGTCTTTGTAGTGTATGTGAGGCCTGTCATTGAGGCTAAGGAAAACGATAGTTCCACAGATCCAACGATTGCCAAGTTGCTGGAAGAGTTCCAAGATTTGACTGAGTCGCCGACAGGAGTAGTGCCGCGACCCATCCAACACAGGATAGAGATAGAGCCTGGCAGTAGAACTCCTAAGGGAGCAGTCTACAAGATGTCCCCTAAAGAGTTAGAGGAGCTTCGCAAGCAGTTAGACGAGCTCCTCGAGAAAGGTTGGATCAGACCCAGTTCATCTCCTTTTGGAGCCCCAGTTCTGTTTGTCCCCAAGAAGGAAGGAGAACTTCGTATGTGTATAGACTATAGGGGTTTAAATGCGATTACTGTGAAGACTGAGCCGCTGCCCAGGATAGACGATCTCTTAGATCGGGTGCAGGGTTGTAAGTATTTCTCCAAGATAGACTTGAAGTCTGGATACCATCAGATGGAAGTCCATCCTAATGACCAGTGCAAGGTTGCGTTCCGGACTAGATATGGGCACTACGAGTTTATAGTGATGCCCTTTGGACTAACCAACGCGCCAGCCACCTTTCAGTGTTGTATGAATGACCTGTTTAGGCCATGGTTAGACAAGTTTGTGGTAGTCTACTTAGATGATATCTTAGTTTTTAGCAAGACCCTCCAGGAGCAGCAGGGTCATCTGAGGCAGGTCTTGGAGAAGCTGAGAGAGGCTAACTTCAAGATCAATCCAAAGAAGTGTGAGTGGGCCAAGACAGAAGTCCTATACTTGGGCCACGTATTAGACGGAGATGGCATTAAGCCAGAGGACAGCAAGATAGCGGCGATTAGACACTGGTCGACGCCCCGCACATCGACAGAGTTGCGGTCGTTCCTAGGCCTAGCTAACTACTATAGAAAGTTCGTCAGGAACTTCTTTACCATCGCCGCTCCCCTGCGCAGGTTGCTTAAGAAAGAGGCAATCTGGCAATGGGACAAAGAATGTACATTTGCGCTAAAGAGACTGAAGTGCACATTGATAGAGTACCCTGTCCTCAAAGTAGCTGATCCGTCTTTGCCTTTTGTCGTCACCACGCACGCGAGTCAGTATGGTATAGGCGTCGTGTTGCAGCAAGACGACGGCAATGGCTATAGACCGGTAGAGTTCATGTTAGCGAGGATGCCCTTAGAGAATGCTGCTACCTCGACATACGAGAGAGAACTCTACGCTCTCAGGCAGGCTCTAGAGCACTGGAAGCATTACGTGCTTGGGAGGCACTTCAAAGTGTATTCTGATCACGAGACCCTTAGATGGTTAAAGACTCGGGCCAAGATGACACCTAAGTTGACTAGGTGGGCCGCCGAGATAGACCAATATGACTTTGAGCTTAAGCCAGTGAAGGGCAAGTACAACGTAGTTGCGGACGCTTTGAGTAGGAGATCAGACTACTTTAAAGCCATAGTACACTACCTGGATATAGGGAGAGACCTGCAAGAGAAAGTGAAGCAAGTGTATGCGCAGGACTCTATCTATAGCAACCTCCTAAAGAGAGTTAGAGAGGCCCTAGAGACTGAACCAGATTACAGACGGGTTGCTGTTTGAGAAGACTAGTGTGTTTGACCGCCTGTGCGTTCCCAACAACGAAGAGATCCGCAACTTGATCCTAGGGGAATGCCACGATACCGAGGGACATTTCGGTTGGCAGAAGACGTTGGCCAATCTGATGCGTGCGTACACTTGGCCAGGGATGAAGAATGACTGCATAAAGTATGTTCGCAGTTGCAAAGTGTGCCAAAGGAATAAGACTACTACGCGCGCCCCCTTAGGTCTTCTCAGACCCTTGCCTATTCCTGATCAGCCGGGAGACTAAGTGTCCATAGACTTCATGGACACCCAAGTCAAGAGCAGACATGGTAAGAGCCAAGTCATGGTCATAGTTGACCGTTTTAGCAAGTATGCAGTTTTTGTTCCTTCGCCTGCAAAGGCACGTACAGATTTAGTGATACAGAAGTTTTTTGACTTTTGGGTTAGTGAGAATGGAATCCCATTGTCAATAGTTAGCGATAGAGATAGTCGTTTCACCAGCCAGAACTGGCAAGAACTCATGAGAGTTTACGGATCTAAGCTATTGATGTCGTCTGGCCGCCATCCAGAGACTAACGGTCAGACTGAACAAATGAACAAGATCCTACAGCAAGTTTTGCGCATGTACATTAGACCTGATCAGATCAACTGGGACGAGATGTTGCCCAAAGTAGCTAGTGCGTACAACAACAGCGTGCATTTATCCACCTGCCGCACTCCCAATGAGCTGCACAAGTCCTTTAGACTGCGCAGACCATTCGAAGGACTGAACCGGGACCAGATTCACAGGCTACCGCCCGGTACCAGGGAGTTCGCGATACAGGACGAGAAAGAACTAGCGACAGTTGTAGAGAACCTCAGGAAGGCCCAGCATAGAATGATAGAACAGGCTAATAAGCACCGTCGCCCGTCGCAATTTCAGGTAGGCGACTTAGTCTGGGTCAAGGCCAAAGAGTTTGCACCTGAGGAAAGCATCTCGCAGAAGCTACTGCCTGCATATAGAGGACTGTGGCCGGTTCTCGAAGTCAAGGGCGGAGAGGATGGACCGTCCTACTCTATAGAGATTCCAGCACACCTCCACACATACCCTGTGTTTCATGCTTCAAAGCTGTTGCCGTGTGTCACAAGTCAACAGTTCCCTTCAGGAAGATCCATGATCCCCCCGGATATGGATGGAAGCTATGACATTGACGGCATTGTAGATGAAGATGTCTTCAGAACAGGAGGTAGAGGTCGTCCACAGAAACAGTATAAGGTCCGGTTTGCTTATCAGGAACCGGAAGACGACCGCTGGTTCACAAGAACAGAACTTCTAGAAACAGCTCCGGACATAGTCAGAGCCTATGAGCGTGACAAGAAGGGTAAAGGTCCTGCCTTGGACTGAAACATTCTCGGAGGACCTCGAATTTAGGACGGCGGGAGTGAAACGGTTTTCACCTTTTAGCAGTAGCAGATGCAGTACCCAGGGCTCGATCCCTAGACCTCACCCTACCCATGTACAGTATCTGTGTAGACCCTGAGAGTCGACCCTGTGACCTGTGTATTCGTAGACAGTTGGTAGGTCTGTCGTAGGTTCATAGGTAGCAAGGGTTCGATCTGTAGATCTATAGAGTAGAAGTTAGCGAGTTCCAGAAGTCTAGCTGTAGTCCTTCTAGAAGGTAGGCAAGTGGGCAAGTGGCGAGGCAAGTGGTGGACTAAACTGCAGTGCAATTGCAGTACCACTACGGTAGGATAGCAGTGAGTCCACAGTCAGTCAGCGGTAGGTCCAGTCAGTCCCAGTCCGGTCCAGCAAGTACCACGGGGGACTGTGAGCACCATGGGCCAATGGCAAAGGGCAGACCAACGAGTTTCCGAGGTTTAAATCAAGAGGCAGCGCCCAGCCTTGCATTCATTCCTGCGTGAGCCATGCGGAAGCGCTGCCACAGCGACTTGTGCAAGGAGGTCTGCAGTGAGCCCGGAGGACGCAGTGGGCGAGGGTGGAGGAGCTTAGTATAGCGATAGGGTAGAGGCAGCCATAGCTGCCATAGCTGTAGCTTAGTGTGAAGTGTGTGTGTGTATGTGTGAGTGTTCAGAGTGACGCGAGTGGGATATCCAGGGTGATCTGGTGTATGTGAACAGTGAGTTGTTTGGGCGCTGAGTCGCCATAGCCAGTTGAAAATGAACTCTTATCTGGATGCCATATCTCTGAGTTTTGAGTGGGCGCATGTTGCCAGTTTGCTGCGCTGCTGTTTACATGCATGAAAAGTGTGAATGAGAACGAGTCTGATTGCAAAAGTACAGCCCAACAGATGGGTACCCAACTGCACATGACATCAGGGAACCACCCTGAGTCAAATGGACAGGCCGAACAGATGAACCGGGTAAGTGCAGCAGTTGCTTTGGCATTATGTTAATCCAACATCATATAGTGGGAGATCAACCAGATGGCCCATCATACGTACACACCCTGTCTTCCATGCATCACAGATGGCACCTTTCTCTGTCACTGATCAATTTCCCTCAAGGACATGTGGACAGACAGTTGCCACACGGCAGTGGGTTACATCCGCCTAGCACGTGAAAATGGGAAAGATTTGTGAGCCTTCCAGGCCCTTCCAGCAACGTGGGGTAAGCAGGGAGCATCGTACGATTGTGTCTAGGTGGTCGGGCATGCCTAACCAAATCGGCCCCAGACCGCTGTCTGAACGGGCCTGGGCACAGACACCTTGACCGAGACTGAAGCTACTGGGAACACAGTCTCGCGTGTGCAGGCAAGGCAAAGCGCCCGCCACTTTCCATATAGGAAAGGGCCGGGCGCCGGGTTGGACATTCGGGCACTGATGTGCATTGCGGCAGTGCTGCTAGAGCAAGCGCTCGCGGGCACGGCTGTGCGCTATGCGTCAAACAGGGCGCTGCTAAAGGCAGCGCCATAGCCCAGCCCCCCCCATAGTCGGGCTACGCGCTTGGACAGTCAGTGGGTGGTGGTGGGTGGTCTTCGTGTATAAGGAAGAAGGTGTGGGTAGAGAAGATGAGAGAGAGAGAGAGAGAGAGAGAGATGAGGATGATGATGTGAGGGCATGTACCTGGTCTTGGTGATTGTCTACAAGGGTCAACATCTTCATGTACTTCCGTTCGGCTGCTGACGTCAACAGTTGCATTGTCAGTTCGTAGGCTGGTAGTAGCTGTGTGATTGTAGTCTGGCCGCCGAGCGCCAGATAGGAGGAAGGGCTCTGGATACTTATATTGGTGATGGCGAGAGTTTGCTCTCATTGACACTCGGATTCAGTGTTTTGGTTCTCCATTGGTGTAATATCGGTGCAATTCTGCTTTCTGGACAGTGTCGGACTTCCTGGCTTTCAATGTGATTTTGCAATCTGGAATCTGTCATTTCGCTATTGCTCATTTTCCTTGTGTGAGTTTTGCTTCTCTTTTTTTTTCTTCATCTTTTACTTCTGTGCTTCCGACAACAAGGACGGGGGAGCTGAGACGCCCTTGTTGAGGGCATGCTCAGACTAGCACCTCCCTGAATGTATCCAACTGCATTCACGTTCTGAGAGTGCTTTATTCTTCGTTTCTTTTATTTTTTTGCTAGTGGTTCTTCCAGGTTCGACCTGTCCTGCTACTGGTACCTCCAGGCTCGGCAGGCTATAATTGGCATTTTAGCCAAAATACTTGGAATAATAATACCACTTTTACTAGGAGTTGCTTTTTTAGTACTAGCTGAACGTAAAGTAATGGCTTCTAAGCAGCGTAGAAAAGGTCCTAATGTGGTAGGATTGTTTGGGTTATTACAACCTTTAGCAGATGGTTTGAAATTAATGATAAAAGAGCCTATTCTACCAAGTAGTGCTAATTTATTCTCAGCATACCGGTAACCCTTGGGTCGGACTGCATAGCTGGGCGAAGTACTGGTGGTTTAAATGATCATTGATTTGCATTGCTTCCCGCGAAAGGGAAAACAGTTAACAGGATCTTAAAGTACAAGTGGGTTTTCATCTTGTTTCAATCATTATGGTTTGTTGTGGTTTGTCATTGATGGATATGAAAAATATTGAATCTGACTGTTCTTAACTGTGTGTTTTGTCAGGTCCTTGGAGATATTGTGGAATCCCTGATCGGGGCCATTTTTGTTGACAGTGAATTTGATCTCCGGCCAGTAGAGAAGGTGTGTTGATGCATCTCCGTTTAGTTATTTGAGTGTACAAGTTGTGATCTATCCTACTCGTCATGAGGCAAGGCAGGAGAGGAACCCAGTTTCTGGAGACAATTTCTAAGTAAACACACTAAACATCAGGGCTGTGTCGGCAACCGGCCGGTGGGACCCCCGGTGGTCCAACCGGAATTCCGGTTGGTCCCAAAAATGGGTCTTTTTTTTTTTTTTTTTTTTTTTTTTTTTAAACATGGTTGGACTGCGCTCGCCGAGATCTCCCCGAATCCGGTTAGAAAACTTGAACAGAGAAGTGGTGGGGGGAGTATTTCAGGGGTTGGGGGTCGGGGGTTAGGGGGGTTGTGGTGGTGTGGTTTCAGCAAGCACGGGCTTCGGCAACAACGCATCTGGCTTTCTGCAAACGTTGACAGACGCGCACCTGCAGAAGAAGAAGAAGAAGAAGAAGAAGAAAAGAAAAATAAGAAAATATTGAAAGAAAAAGTTGAAGATGACAAACTCTGAAGTTCTGAACTTGTCTCCAGATCATCATTTTGTGTCTGTGTGTGTGTGTGTGTGTGCGCGTGTGTACCGCACACCTACACTTCCGTAGAACATAAGAAGAAGAAGAAGAAGAAGAAGAAGAAGAAGAAGAAGAAAAAGAAAACATACCTGTGCCGCGCTGGCGGGCGGAGGGGCTGGCTTCGCTGCACGATGATGACGATGACGACGGCGACGGGCGACGACAGCGGGGGCGTTAGCTTGTTGACGGAACGGCAGGTGAGTCGGGGGGTGGCGGGAAATCGTAGGCAGGAGGGAACGGCAGCTTCTCCAAGTTTCAAAAAGGGAGGCCTCGTCTGGGCTGCCGATCTTTCGAGATCAGCGGTCCAGAGAGGCAGCCCTTTTCGAAACTTGGAGGCTGCCCTACTGGACCCGTTTCGAATTGTCTTAGGGCCAGGAGTCCCCCACAACCCGCGTGGAGGCCTCCTGGCCCCAAAAAAAGTCGAATCGGCCAGATTTTGGCTATGCGCTATAGCCGACCGGGGGGCAAACAGCCCGGTGGACCGGCCGGTCCCACCGGCCCGGTTCTGGGTGGGGGTGGACCCCCTGGTGGAACTGGGTTTACAGCCCTGCTAAACATCTTATTGCTGTGGGCAATGTGGGTTTCATTTGGCATGGTCTGTATTAACCCATCTTGTGAAAGAAGTGCAACTCTTGAATGTAATAGATCATAAGTGCATTCAGACTCGTCTCTATTTCACGTCCAGCATGCATACATGCAGATGCCGATGGCAAAACAACTTCCTTAAAGAAGAGTCAGCAACAAGCTTGAGATGTTGCAGTGCCCCCACACAGAAAACCCAGGGATATGGCCTTCGGCCAGGAACTCGGCTCAAGACAACTTGTCACATCTTGTGGCTGTGGCGTCTGAGCGCCAGTCTGAAATTCCCACCCGAACACTGTATTCTACAGAGCAGCTATGGCCGCTGTCGTCTTCCTCCTCCTAGCAGCTATGGCCGCTTGCCCTCTTCAACCCGGGCTCTCCTGCTGACCACCTGTGACTCCACGCACAAGACACTCAAGCAGTGCTTCCGCGTAGTTAGTCTCAGAATGAGTGAATGACTGATCGCTGCTGTTTCGTTTGGTGGTCTGGGCCTGCCCGATGTCCCCCCCACTCTGGTACTTTCTACAAAACGGACTGGACTGGGACTGCCTTTTCATGTGCCCCTTCGGGGTTGACTTGGGACTTTTGATCTTTCAGAGATTTGACGGGCTGCCTCTACTGACTCGAGAGGTCAAGTTGACTCTTCAAGACCTAACCTAGCCACGACCTACTGACATTTCAAGGACGTATGGGCAGTTTACCTTTTGAAAGGTCAACTGTAAACTTGCCTTTTCGGGATACCTACAGACGACCCTAAGACTACTAAGCAACAGACCTATGGATCAAATCCACACGACCCGGGCTTCACACACAAGGCATTTATACACGGGCTTGGGGACAGATCGTGGGTTCAAGGCACACGGGGTCGACGAACAACACAAGCCTACTGTGCACTGGGTTGGGGAAAGTCTGGGGATCAAGCCCCGGTATCTGCAATTGTTGCACGAACTGGGTGAAACCCTTTCATAAGGCTCATTGCTGCGTCTATTATTTATTGATAACTAATAGTAGTAGTAAAGCCCACCAACGGGCCTAGCTCAGTTGGTTTACCAATGACCTGTTGAAATATATACCTGAGTTCGAATCCAGATGCAACTGAAAACCAAAAGTAGTAAAGCCCAGGTAGCACACCCAGTTATGGGGCCGCAACCAATGGGGCAAAGAAGTGGGGTGGAAAAAAAGGGCTAGCATGTGGCCAGCATGGCAGGCAAAGGGCCAGAAAGGGGGGTTTGGGAAAGCATTGGGTGATGGAGGTCGAAAAACAGCACCTGCGGGCAGCTGGCTGTCTGCTGTTTTTGGGCAGAGGTTGAAAAACGACAGCAAGTCTTGCAAAACCAAGTAGCGTGCCATAGCGAACTGTCACGCCGAAACCCAAATCCTTCTGGATATTCAACCTCCCTATAGATGTGTGAATTGCATGGGACCGGCTGAATAGGAAAGCAGATTGAAGAATTCTTGCCAAAGGGTGAGCAGACCTGGGCAGTCTCAGTATGGAGCAGCGTTTTCGTTTGTAATTAAAACGAACGAAAGCTCCTCATGTGCATTGATTGCTGAGGACTGAACTT